GCGCCGAAGTGGGGCCACCGATGATGAATCGCGTTCAAACCACAAAGGGTGTTTTAAACTCGAGTGCAGTCGGGAAGCGAGTGATGGGGTTAAATGCACAACTCACTCGGAATCCACTTGGGCCACTACACACTTGTACTCCGACTGAGCAAAGAGGCATATTGACGCAAACTGTCTCACTGGGAGAAAAGAAAGTATATTTACATAGACACACACACACACACACACACACAATAGTCAGCACAGAAGGTGTTTCACTACGATGCATAATACAGATAAATAGTAGGGTCGTTCAATGGTAAGGGGAATAAACCGCCACCTGAAGATGGTTGACCCGCAAAATAAGCTTCAAAAATACTTATACATGTCCTTTTGTTTACATTTTATGTTTATGTTGTCCCTACATACGTGTATACACGTGTACATTGATTTGCATGTTTGTGTTTACTTAAATTGACATACATTAAAATGTTTGTGTTGCCTCTACATATGAACGTGTATATTTACACGTGTACATTGATTTGCATGTTTGTGTTTACCTTGGACTCTGATTTTCTTGACAGTTTTTGAGGATCTGTTAGCGATTGAGATGTTTACTTTGATCGGCTCTCCGTGAGAGTACGTCTGATGGGTGTGTGTGTGTGTGTGTGTGTGTGTGTGCGTGTGTGATTGTGTGTGGTTGTGTATAGAGATGGAAAACAAAGAAACAGTAACGGAACAGATGTTTTTCTTTCTCTTTCCTCTGTTCTCCTAGCCTCTGGTCCACTGACCACTTTCCGCAATACGAGTTTACATAAATGCACCCACCTTTCCCCCTATCTTGGTTTCGAAACAAGGTCTGAGACTTAAAGGCACCGTGGCAGTGACATAAGGGCTAAATTTAGAAACTGTTACTAAAACAGAAACTTAATTGCATTCTAGCACTGGGCCCTGCTGTTTTGTTCTATATTTAGTAACATTTCTAAGTTTAGCCCTTATGTACTGACACATTCCCATTAATTTTCTCCCGCTCTTTACAAACTGGCTTACGCTTTGTATTGTGCCCGAGTTCCCTTATCGGAGGTTTCAACTGTACTTACCCCTTTGTCAAGGTTGGCCTCCACCAGCAGTGGATGAGAGCTGAGCATGAAATCTTTGGATACGTCGGTGGTTGGCTGGAGGAAGAGAGAGAGGAGACAAGGAGGGAGGGAGGGTAGGGTTACTTTTGAGAGGGTCAAATTGTAATGTATTTCATGACACGCTGAATTACCACGAATTTGAACCGAATGTCAGCGTGCAATATCACGACAGAAGTACGACAATTCTTTCTAGTGCTACTTGTATGACCAACGAAAATGTGCCGCTATACGTTAAGTGAGTGGGTTTGGACATCTGCTTACTCTTTGCGTCTGTTCTTCAGGTGCGTGGGTTATCTTCTTGATAGCCAGACGAACAGAATTTCTATTAAAAAAACGCAAAACGATACACACATAACTATGCGACCTAGAACGGAAAGAGTGTACGAATTAAATCTTTGCAATCAGTAGGTCTACCAACTTTCCATTATGTAAACACAACGTCTGACCGATTTGTCACTTAGAGAACTTTCAAGAGCTACTTTTATGTCAGGTATTACATCACTATTGTAGTTGTCGCTGAAGTATTGAACTAACACAGCTGTGTTGTATTAGTTGCAGACCTTTTCTCGATCTTGTCTTCAGGTAGTTTTCCGATGAAGCACCTGAGGATGAAGTCTAACCCACATGTTGTCAGCCTCTCCCTGTCCTGGCTGAGGGACACTGAAGATGGCAGACCTCGGTTAGCTGGAGTAGAGGGGGAGAGGGTAATAAACTCTCATGAAAAAGAAAAAGAGTGTCCTTTGGCTTTGCAGCTTACTCACAGCAAGTGGCTTCAAAATATCATGGTCATTTGTTTTTTCGTCAGGGAAAAGGAAGAGGAAGGTTTAAGGAAAAGTGGAGGAGGTGGAGGGCAAGGGAGAGGGAAGGAAGAGGGGAGGAGGGGGACAAGAGGAGAAGACAGCGGAAGAATCACGAAAAAAGGCGGGGCAATAGGGAACAGACAACAGGGAAACGGAAAGGGGAAGGGGAGAAGAGAAGAAGAGAGTTAAGAAAAAAAGGAGAGAGTTTTCCCTCCTTTAATTTTCCTTTGTTCTGTAAGGTATTGCACAAAATATTACGCTGTTCATTTAGCAGCCTGTTATAAAGTTCACTTGTGTTTTTCGTCAAGGAAAATACTCTCTCTCATTTTCCATTATACCACAAAAAATGTATGAAAGAGAGTCACTCCTAAACAGCCTATTGATAATTTTCACATGTGATTACTTCACTGCTGTTGTCTGCTGCTACGTATTATGAAGTACGTACTGAGAATGTGACGGGTAGAAGCGTTCCTGTCTTCTCCTTCCGAGTTTCTTGAGAAGTCTGACTTGTAAGAGAGTGAGGAGCTGAGGTTGAGATGGGTCTGGGGGTGGGTAGACCTGCATCCTCTCCTAATGGATGGTGCAATTGTGGGTGAGGTACAATAATCAGAAAGGGGCTAGCGAGAGAGAGAGAGAGAGAGAGAGAGAGAGAAGAGTAAGGAGGGAAGGGAGAGTTGGGGGGAAGTCCTGAGTTGTCAAGTAAACAGAGTGTGTGTCTCACGTCGATGAGGTCACGTCTGAAGTTGAGTCCCAGAACGTCCAGGTCGTCTCTGCCATATCTGAACCCAGCCAACACCTGGGCAAACACTGCCAGTGCACACCTAGGGGGAGAAGATAGGGGAGAGATGAGAGTGAGAGAAGGCTATGTCTATAATTATATTGCTAGCTTCGATTTCGTCCCGGCTCATTTTGTTTACTCAGGCTATGGATCTCCGTCTCTGTCTCGCCTTCTCTTTCGTCTCCTTTCTTTCGCCTTTCTTTCGCTCCTCTACTTCTCTTCTTACTGTTACCGCCTCTTTTTCCCTCTCTTTTCCTTTTTTTTTGGCCAGACGTTACATACCTCATATCCACATGGTTTGCAGAAGGAAAAGAAGGTGGAACAAATAGTCGATAGGAAAAAAAATTGCACACTCTGTGTGTCAAACCGTTTTTTTTCCTAGTGAAAGTTTATTCACTCCACCATTACAGGCACACACCTTTCCTATCTTTCTTTCCATCTCTGCCAAAGGACTCTGGGTCGATGAGTACCACACCATCTGCGGAAGAAGAAGGGCGCTTATGTCACATTACTAACTCCACATTGCAACTATATGACCTAAAATTTTCCTTTCCAGCAATCTTACGGGCTATATCCTGCGACGTGGCAATGCGGTAAGGCGACGTATTGTGAACCCAGTCTAAGCAACGCTTGCGTAACACAAGAAAGCTAGCGGTGCCAGTATTACATCATGTTGTATAACCACATGTGTATGTACCATGTTACATACACTAAGTGGGGGAGTATAATTATTACACTAGGTACAGCGAGAAACACATGGCATCCAGGTCATTAAGTCAATATGGTGAACCAAACACACACGAATACACCGATAACTTAATCACATGCTTGTGTTTCAATAGAACGACTAGTAATAGGTTTACCGATAGGGTCGACTTTCGTAACATGATCGACAAAGTCTCGCTGCCAACGTAGACGGTATCTGCAGAAACAAACATGTACCAAACATGTAAACAAAG